TTATTGTTCTTTGATTGTGCCAATAATTTTATCATACTGAAATAATTAATTCTATCTTTAATAAATACAAGCACAATATAAATCGTATGCTTTGTACAAAATGCTTAAAGGTGACTGTTCAATCCAATCAATAAATGATACCTATTCTTACTAACCAAATATCTCAGATTTTAAAACTAAAATCTTAAAAATTTACCAACTAATCGCTATAACTATAATAATATCTACTCACTTAAATCATCATAGTGATATTGAAACTTTCAAATCGGGAAACTATCTTGAGAATTGTATAATTACGTACAAAGAAAAAAAAATATTACACAACAGTCATTTAGTTATTTCATAGAGACTGAAGGGTTTTATCCACATTACCTCCTAAAAATATCCAATTCCTGATAACTATTTAGTAAAAACTACCTGGGGACATAGAAAAAATCAACGAATAGTTTAATATAAAATTAAATATAAGAATAAATATCTAGAATTTCAAGTTTTATTTAGCCAATTTTTTGAACATGTACTTAAATCAAACGAGTCAGCTAGTAAAGTTGCAACAGAGTATGATAAGGTACAGTATTGAGATTTTTCTTAAAAAAAATCACATAATTATCTTATATTAATATTTTTTTACATTAGTGCCTTGCATAAGATAATCACAATTTTTAAAATTTATATAATTATTTTTATTTTCATTTCTAATAGTTACTATTTATTTTAAATAAAATTTTATTTATAGATCGTTAATTCTAGCAAAAAAAGTTTTTTATCTGGACTACTACTCTTCGGGTTATAGCTTCAAACGCTTAATAAAGTTAGAAAATCTCAGGTTAACCATGTAGTTAAATCTGCTGATCAATATTCACATCGAGCACTTGAAAGACATGCAAAAAGATTTGCAATAATAGTCAAAGAAAATTTTATTCAAAGCACAAAATCCAATTATCATGATCAGAATTTCATTGAATTAAAAACATTCGAATATGCTATCAATAATTAAAATTATATTATTAATTTTGAAAAGGATGATCTGGTACAAAAAAGAGCTAAAATTTTAAATATAGTTAATATTATAGATTCAAATTATATTTCACATGATGCTTATAAAAATTTGGCAGCAATAAATGATTATCTACCACGTGAACATATTATTGCAAGTGAACAAAATAACCTAACTCAAGAAATGTCTAAAGACATTTCTATTAAACTTATTAATATAAATACAATGATGATAGATGAATATCCTAAACATATAGATGAAGAATTTGATAATATAGACAATGAATCTAATAATTTAGCTCCTAATAACATTATAGATTTCATAAATATAGGTGGGCAACGTGATTGTAAAGGAATACTTTGACATATAATTCTTTATTTGTTGTGTGAAAATGTATTATCAGCTCATGATCCCATAATTCACTTGCGAATTTCTAGTGACAGCAGAAATGTTAGTTGAAAGGTCAAGCATGTTATGATCATTTTTACAGTTCTTAATGATAAAAAAAACTGCTATATGCCTAGTTATCATTATACTGTCACTTTGTATCTAGAAATCGAAAAATATGAATCTCTTGAATTAATATTAAAGCTATTCCTTAATGAACTTAAAGATCTTAAAGTTAATAGATTAGAGGTCTCAAATATCTTATGGTGGTTTGAGTTATATTTTAGTAGTGATTGGAAGTTTCTTGCAATTTGTCTCGAATTAAATACTGAAAATTTTAATTATTTTTGCGCTTGGCGTCATTGCTCTAAATGAGAAATTGGTGATATAACACAAGATTGGCAAATCACCAAATCAATGAATAATTTAAAGAATAATTATTTTAATATTCTAGGTCATATCAAACTACCGTTATTTGATATGATTCCTTTATCCAACTATGTATTCGATATGTTGTATTTATTATTATGAGTTGAAGATCGGCTCTGGATATTAATGTTATCAGAAATTAAAGAGCGAGATTTATTTAATGATATTAGCTATCAAATTATTGTAAATGAAATAGATTAGCTTGATATTAAATTTCAATTTTGAAAAAAATCTGATACGTGAAAATATATATTATTAAGCGGTGATAACAAAATTAAAGTATTATAGTACTTTAATTTAAATACTCTTTTTCATCCAAGTCAGGCCTGGTTAATTCGATCTTTGTAGAACAAATTTATCGATTTATATAAAACACTATGTGATGAAAATAGTGATCCTTTATATTTAAAGAATTTAATACTTGAATGGTTAAAACTTTTTTTAAAACCTGATGAAAAGGATCTAAAAGACTCACATAATATCATCAAAGGTCTCTATTTGCCAATTCCTTTAACTACTTATATTCATTTTTTGGTATTTCACAGGTAGGAATTACATCAAATACATAAGCAATAGGAATTAAAATCATTTTCTTGTAGTGCGGTTGAAAAAAAAAATCATATGTATATATCTTATTTTTTTCGAAAAACTACTCTAAATGGAGGAAATTATTTTAAAAGAAATCTAGCCACAATAAAAATTTTAGAATATGAGTCACGAAACCTTTTTCATATATATAACGATCTTCCAATGCAGCAGAAAACAAAAAAACTTTGTATTAAATAAAATTGTGTAATATAAGGCAATGCAAACAAATAAAGTTGGTTCTTGCTAGCCAGTCTTGTGACTTTCTATAAAAATTAAAGTTTTTTTCTATTATTAAAAACTTTTTTAAATATAATAAGTTTTGTCAGCTGACTGGATCCTATTTGCCTATCAGTATTAAATAATTTACAATTTTCGGAGGCCTAGAATATAAAGTATCCTGGGTACTAAGGACAGATTAATTGTACTGGAAATGTAAAATACCCAATATAAGCACTTTATTAGCATTTTATTACTATATTTAATTTTATAAATATATTTTTTAATTATTATGCAAATAAAATGCTAATAGTAGCAATATATCATCAGTATTTTAGTAATAATAAAGGCCTAAAAATTACCATGATTTAACTAATTTATTAGATATTTAAAGGCGCTGATAATGAAATAATCTTGTAATAAATTATTAAAGCTGCCAACTTATTACTAATAATATACTATATATTGCTTATTATTTGCAAATAATTGCATACCTCGAAATTATCAGTTTTTTGTAAAGTATAATTATTTATTGCAAGAAAAGCTTTTATATACATAACTATGATGATCAGGCTATATCATATGTCGGGTTAAACCGTTTTCAATTTTTAAGTCGATTTGAATAGATATACATACAAGAATTGTTTTTAATTTATACTAAAGTGTGAAAATTTATATATACGAATTGTAACAAACCCAATAATTAAAACTTGATTTCTGGAATTAATTAAGTTCAAACCAAACATTTAAAAAACCTAATTGGATAAAGCTTTAGTTTATAATCAGATACTTTAATTACCCATTAAGTATATATCTTTGTGAAATATAAAAAGATAAATATACAAATCTTGCTGTACAAGTATATTCATCTATTTCTTTAATAATTTTTTTGAGTAGATTAGTGGGTTCACCAAAATTCAGCAAATGACCTGCAGATCGCTGCCGACCCATCATCAGGATTTACTTATAAATTTGAAAGTTTTTTAAAATTTCTAGCGATGATTTCTCAATAACTACTTGATTGAATTTGGTAAAAATTTTTTTATTTTAA